TTACAAAGAAAGTATAATCTCCACTTACAGTTTCTTGGTCGACATCCCGTGTATCGAGACACTCGCTATGTAGCCAGAAGTTGCAGGTATCGCATTGCGTCATTTCGCCGTCTTCTTCCAAGGATCCACAGACACACCGCACCTATAGAAGTCGGTTTCGAATAAAAAGATCTAAGGAAATAAAAATTTTCAATGTCAGTTCAAGAATTAGCTGGATATTCTGGCTCCGTCTCATGGAATAAGACGACTAGACAGTTCTGCTCGCTGCTGATGGTGGGGCGTGTGGGAGGGGCTAGATTTGGCGCGGCACCAGCCTATTTTCTACAAAGATATTGTGGCATTGTCTACAAGGACAATTCTTTCACGAATGAGACTGCATTAGGTTGTTTCATAATCTGTCCTGCGAACGGTTGGCACCGCGCCAAACCGGTCCTTTTGTCTTCCCGAGCATCCGCAGCGAACAAAACCGTAGATCCTCAATTCTAATCATAAACCCAAAAAATCGGAAAGAAACATTCTCCTATAAAACTCACCGCATCATCCTTCTCATTCGCTTTTCCCAGAGGCCAAACTTCATCTGGGTCATAGCTGCCAACCTAAAGAACACACTGATACGAGGTGAATCGCAGAGCAGGGAAATTCAACTGAGAAAACCTCTACGAGGAGGAAGATGCCTAGTCGGGTTGAGGCTGATGAAAAACTCACCCGGAAATCTGAGTCGATATATTCCAGGTTGGTGTCCCGATTCACGAATCTGGCCTCCCTTCTACGATCTCTTTTCGGTTTCTCGTCTTTCTCGGGCTTTCCAACATCACAAAGGTATCGACCACGTAAGGCTCTGAAATGGCGTCATTATAAGACCATCTAAGGAGTCCACGAATGAAAGAACTCACGTGTAGGCGCGCTCAAAGTCTTCATCAGCCAGCTGATCCAGCCATCGTCCCATTTCAAGATCAAACGCAGCCGAAAGTTCAGACTTGCTCAGATGGGTCCGCTGTCGTTCAACACTACGAAGTAGGCGATTGACTCGGTGGTAGCCTGCTAGCGCCCCGCTTTCAGAGGAACGTCCATCGATTACGGTCGCAGCCCTATATAGCATATTATTCAAAGCAATAAGTTGATTATGTTTCGATATACAGTAAGTAGTTTTGAACTTGGAAGGGCTAGATTTTCACTTTACTCTAAAGCCAGGCGACTCAAAAGTAGAGCCATCTTTCGGCAGTGCATTCATAGTCTGCGTCGCCGCTTTTGACAGCATTCTGGGCGCAAGGCATCATTTTGAGCGTGCGCCAACGTTTTCAGCGACTAGGGGAGTATGGATACCTATCCAGCATTCTGAGCATACGCTGAAAACGATGGCGGACGCCCGAAACGCTGCACCGATACTCATAGTTTTTCCTAGACCCCAGAACGCCCAAACGCGTTGACGTACCCTCGAACGTTTAACGCGATGTATGCAATTCACTCCTGAACGGACAGCTTTTCAGGAGTAGAAGTAGCAACTTGATTTCAAGAAAAAAAAAACAACAAGATGAAAACTCACCGGTACACAATCCCTTTGAGAACTGTGCGCAGGCCTTCGACTTGCGAGGCAGGAGGACCGAACGAACCGACCAAACCTGGAAACACCACTTGAATACTCGTATGATTCGAGTGGATATTTTCGAACGAGTTTTGCATCTAGTTTCCTGCTTGTTATGACTTATGTGAGCGGACAATCGCAATTTGCTGCGCTGGCGGGCGTCGCGTGCGACGTCGCGCGCAGAAATGAAGTGTTTCTAGGTCGGGGATGGCTACAATAGACAATATATAACCGAAGAAAAAGCCATAAATGTCTACGATATCGCACTGTATTAAAATCCGGTGCTACGATCGACAGGTTTTAAGAGAGGCCGCACCCATCGCTCCGCGTGAAGCTGCAGCAAATTACGATTGTCTTGACCGTCTCCCTTCAAAGACTACATTTTGGGCTGATCGTCTGGGCGAGGCCATTTGAATCATTGGGTTTATACTCTTAGGCAGGAGAAACAACCCATAAGAGGGGCACTTGTCCAAGTTGTCCATGTGACCTTGCTCCACGATCAACGCAGAATGTACTGCCGGGCGAATATCACAACAACCAACTTCTACTCAACTGACTTGACAAGCATATTTGCTTAATTTACGCTACTATTACTTTACGTGGGCAATTAACGAAATCCCCTTGAAATACTCTAGCTGTTAATAATGCCCAGAGTAGTACTCACCATGAGCGCCGGCTCGGATAATGCTGCTCTGCCGGTTGCGAATCAAAAACAAGTGATTTTTGCGAACGACACGTTCTTCGTTGATTGACAGATCACTTGCAGAAGCAATCGGCTGCAAACAAGATGCTTCAGACAAAACATTGTTGTGAACAGTTAATAGTACAAAGAGAGAAATGAATATAACGAGAAGCAAAAAAAAAATAACAAATCAAAAGCCTCACCGGGTTGCGCGCCATGACAAGCCGTTTGCGACAATCGCTCAGACCACAGTGGCAGTTTCGGCTCACCGGTAACAAGCCATTCATATCAATGGTTATTTCTGCTCCTGACGTGATCTCACCTAGTGAGAACAAGCCAGCTCGGTAGTTTCCGTTCACTGACCTAAACATTCAACACTACAAACGTGACTTCATAAAATGAAAAAAATTTCACAAAAAAACGTAGACAAGTACATGAAAACATGATAGTCCCTCTTGTCAGAACTCACCAAACT